CAGTGTTAAGTTCGGAAATTAAGACGGTTAGTTTCCCGTTAGCTTCCCTGTAGCTCTATATGTCCCCCGCTATTAACTTATCCGTGATAGCTTCCAAAAAGTTATCGTAGTAAGTTTTCTAAAAGAGTGCAAAGAAAAGTTTGTGAAATATTGAATTGTTATTTAACAAGAAGTTTGCTTATTAAGTTTCTTTAAAACTATTTCCGGTAAGTATTCTAAAGATTTTAATGCAAATTTCCATGTAATTAAAAAAGAAAGTTTCTATTGAATTTCATTCAGTATAATTAAAAAAAAATATTTATTTCTACATCTGTGCTTCTGTCACCCTGCTTTTATTAAATCTCTAATAATAATGGAGAAATTTTTGGAAATAAATTTGGAGGAACTGGGGATTGAACCCGGGTTCGCCGCGCAGAAACTCAGACCCTAACCACTAACCTAATCGACCAACTGAGGAGAAATAAGTTTTGTGTCCTCTTGAGGTGCAAGTGATCTCATTGTTTGACACATGGTTGCCAACCTAAATGGCGGGTGAATTTAAATTTTTTAAAAAAATGAAAAAACAACTCAATTTATTAAAAAAATATTAATTATTGAAATTTTATTTCTATTTATTAAATTACCAATTTAATAAAATTTAATAATATTTCTCGACAAAAATTTAAAATTTCTATTTTTAAAAAATTATTTAACTTCTTAAACATGGTTTATTATTTAAAAATATTAAAGTGTGTTTAATAATTCTGTGTTATATTCGTTTAAAAATTTTTTAAATAAATTTCTTTTCTACCAAAAATTGTTTGTTCACCTTGAAACTGTTGAATAATTTTTGTTAACCTTTATTTTAAACATGCGAGAAAATTTAAAAAAAAGAATCTCGAAAATAATTTTTCAATTTCTATGTCTATATGACGAAATATGTATAAATTAAACATGATTGTTGAAATTAAACAAATCACGGAAGTTATCGAAAATAATATAAGAACAATTAATTTTTTCGAGTTTTATTATAAAATACAAATTAAAATTGTTAATTAAGTAATTAATTCTATTATTCGGCTTCAAAAATTACTTATTTTTTTTCGCTTTAAATATATAATAATATATAGTTTTTACTGTATTTTTGTTATTAATATTAATTTTATTATTCATTTTAAATAATAATTATAATAATAATAAAATTAATTTATTATTATTAATAATATTGGGGGCGGTACAAATTGCCCACAAATAAACTGTATACGAGAAAACTGCACACACTAAACTGCACACAGTAGAAGTGTATACAAGCTGTTAAAAAAAAATTTTTTTTAAATAAAAATTATAAACTGTATGTGTACACAGTAAAACTGTATACGGCAGAACTGTATACAAGATATTTTTAAAATAAATTAATAAAATTTAAATTAAAAACTGCATACATTTAAACTGTATACCGATAAACTGCATACATCAAAACTGCACACGAATAAAACTTATGACATTTTTATTTTTAAAAAGTTTGGAAATAATAGCATACAGTTCAACTGTATGCTATTATTTCCAAACTTTTTAAAAATAAAAATGTCATAAGTTTTATTCGTGTGCAGTTTTGATGTATGCAGTTTATCGGTATACAGTTTAAATGTATGCAGTTTTTAATTTAAATTTTATTAATTTATTTTAAAAATATCTTGTATACAGTTCTGCCGTATACAGTTTTACTGTGTACACTTTAACTGTATACAGTTTATAATTTTTATTTAAAAAAAATTTTTTTTTAACAGCTTGTATACACTTCTACTGTGTGCAGTTTAGTGTGTGCAGTTTTCTCGTATACAGTTTATTTGTGGGCAATTTGTACCGCCCCTAATATTGATATTAACAATAAACAATAATATTATTATTATAAACTAAATTTATTATTAATATTTTTTTAATAATGAAAAGTTTTAAAATTAATTTTTTTTAATCATTAATTTTTAAATAATAAACCATGTTTAAGAAGTTAAATAATTTTTTAAAAATAGAAATTTTAAATTTTTGTCGAGAAATATTATTTAATTTTATTAAATTGGTAATTTAATAAATAGAAATAAAATTTCAATAATTAATATTTTTTTAATAAATTGAGTTGTTTTTTCATTTTTTTAAAAAATTTAAATTCACCCGCCATTTAGGTTGGCAACCATGTGTCAAACAATGAGATCACTTGCACCTCAAGAGGACACAAAACTTATTTCTCCTCAGTTGGTCGATTAGGTTAGTGGTTAGGGTCTGAGTTTCTGCGCGGCGAACCCGGGTTCAATCCCCAGTTCCTCCAAATTTATTTCCAAAAATTTCTCCATTATTATTAGAGATTTAATAAAAGCAGGGTGACAGAAGCACAGATGTAGAAATAAATATTTTTTTTTAATTATACTGAATGAAATTCAATAGAAACTTTCTTTTTTAATTACATGGAAATTTGCATTAAAATCTTTAGAATACTTACCGGAAATAGTTTTAAAGAAACTTAATAAGCAAACTTCTTGTTAAATAACAATTCAATATTTCACAAACTTTTCTTTGCACTCTTTTAGAAAACTTACTACGATAACTTTTTGGAAGCTATCACGGATAAGTTAATAGCGGGGGACATATAGAGCTACAGGGAAGCTAACGGGAAACTAACCGTCTTAATTTCCGAACTTAACACTGTTAGTTATCTGTTAGCTTCCTGCAAAATATGGTGCTATGTGGGTAAAATAAAATTAAAATTAAATTAAAATAAAATATTAAAATAAAACCTAAAAAAATAATATTTTTGATCAAAATTGAACAGATGGATAAAAATGTGAAGAATGAAATTCATAAAAACATTTCACCTTCATATCGTTTCTTTTTAACAATATCTTTTTTATTAATAGATTTTTTCCGCATCTGCAAGGCATTTTCGATTTGTAAAAAGTAATGTTTTTAAATTTGTTAAGTTATGCATAATATTATTGACTCACCACTTTCTTTTGTTTTTCAATCAGGTTGCAATAAAGTAAATTTGAGGCTATTTTATTAATTTAATTTTTATTAAAAACTGATTTAAATACGCAATAAAAAAGGAAATCCTTCTACAGAAATGTGTAAATGAATTTTCTTGTTTTTTTTATGCAAAAACCTCATTTTCGATAAATTGGCGCTTGACCCCTTTTGTCATTCTACTCTTCATTTATATTAAAAATAAATAATAATAAAATAAAGAAAGACAAAAAAAGTTTTCTTTATTAAAATTGTGATTAAATTAATTTAATTGAATTTAATTAAAACTCAACAATTTGCATCGATTATACAAGTTTAATTTATCTCATTAAACAATCTTAAAAAATTCAATTGTTAAAAAAAATGACAACATAGAAACTATATAACTTATTAATTAATTTTTCTATTTACAATTGAAAAAGAGAATTTTTAAAAAGGAGAAAGTATGAATGCTGCCACCTACCGTGCAAAGTCGGCGGCTCAACTTCTTTATCGACTATCAATTTGGATGTCACTAGAAAATTCCTTAGCCTGTCAAACTCACTTACGCGAACATTTTACACTTTAAACTTTATTTATTTAATAATAAGACGTTAATTTACCACAAATACAGCACAAATCTATCACTAAATACTTTTATTATGCAATTATAGAATACAAGTCAGAAAATGTTTATTTATACCTACTAGAAGTGGTACCAAAATCTAGATATCTGAAGATTGTACATAAAAACCTTTAAAAGTTTATAATAAATGATTAACAAATAATAGTAAATCATATATTGGCAATAATTATTTTATTTCTTACGCGTAAAATCATTTGCTATAACTTAAACAACTAAAAAATCTGAGCGGCACAACCGACCCTGGCGTCGGCACAACTCTCCCCAGCGCAGAGTGTGATGTGCCGCGTCGCCTTGCTGCACAAAATCATTTTTTACAAAAAAACTGTTCAAAATTATCAAAAAATAATAATGGATTTAAAAACTACATTAAATTTTACAATAGGTAAACTATAAATTAAAACAAAAAGTTGTCATTTTACTACCATTTTCGTTAGTTTTCTCAGAATCGGCACTTTCAGCCCCGGTCTCCCCTATATATAATTACAAATAATGAATCAAAAATAAAAAAAATACGTCAACTTTTTTATTTTTTATTTGTAATAAAATTTTAACCGGGAATGATGAAAATTCGAAAACTGTTTAAATAAGGACCACCTTATCACCTTACTTAAAATTATAAATAGCTTTTAAAACAAATTTTTAATGTATAAATTCGTTTACATAAATTTATTCCATGTAATGTCGCTTATAAAATAAAGCTATTTTATTCAAAAGTAGGTACTTGCATAGTATAATAATAAATAAATCAATTTAAATTCACAAATAAACAAAGAATAGTAAACATGAGTTTCGATAAGCTTCTGAGTAAATTGAAATCACATTGCATTATAATGTAAAATAGAATAAAATTACAATACTTTGAATACGAATATCAGAATAAAAAAATGAATCTATATTCTTGTATTTATTCTATACATAATAAAACAATGAGTAATTGAAAATAATTGAACGCAAAGCTCATTGATTCTCTGAAAACACTATAAATCGATCACCCCCTTCTTTAAAAAGAGTAATATTAAAAATCACGATTAATAATTGAAATAAAGTTATTAGTTCTTAATCATGACTAGTAATACTTACTTAAGTTATATTTTTCTGAGTGTAACAAAAATTCTCAATATTGCCAATTGTTAAAAAATACCTATTTCACATAGGTATAGCCATCAAAATTTGCATCTTATTAGACATTAGTGGCAGTGTTCTCGATAAATAAATTAGCGTCTAAAATCATCAGTACTATCGATTTTTACGAATAGTTTTTACCATGTGTCTTCTCCGTAATCTGTGCTTTTTACAATAATTTGTTTTCATTATTTTTCCCTCAATGCAAAATACTAAGATAGATATATTGTTTATTAAGGGCAGGCAACAAAAATAGACATTCATTTAGAAAAGCATTTTTTGATCCACATTTCACTGTTATACAATAATGAAAATACAATAAATAAACATATATATTGCTGATTCTGTTAATTCTAGACGTTAGTGACTCGTATTTTATTGAGAAAATTATATTAATTTTTCAAGAAAATCATTTAAAAAATAAACTTTTCAGATGTATTTTGCAGTAAATGACAGGTCCCAAAATCATACTTTTTCCAATAATAATAACACAAATGTAAAATTTAATTTACAATTTTCAACTGTAAAAATATTATAACATAAGAACAAAAAAATAAGAAAGACATTGCCAGTAGTTTGACGACTACTGATATAGTTGTTTTAATTTTTACTAATACTTCATGTCTAGAGTAATAAAATAAGATATAATAATTGGAGCATATTAAGTCGATGATTAACGATTTGTCCAATAAGACAAAAAAAGATACATAATGTTATAATGCGTTTTTTATTTTCATAGAAAATAAATTTCCATTCTAATTTAAATGCTAGCGCTTGAGCGATCATCGGAAACAGTACAACAAATGTACTCTATGTAAAGAGACGTCAAGTTATTTTTTCCGCGATTAATACAGAAATTATAATCTAATTGAATTAAAAAGTTTTTTGTTTTTTTTAACCCCATACACGAAATCTTTACAATAAACTGATTTTGTAAATTGATTAAAACCGCAGTTACTAAAACACTATTTCTACTTTAGGTAACCCAAGAATTAGTAGACACATTTTGAGAACTAATCTGCAGCCTGGGCATCACCTGCGACTGATCATTAATACTAACATTCACCGGAGTACTGGACACAGCAGTTGAACTTGAAGGTGGATTTTGAGCGCACGAAGTCATGTGTGCTGGCCAGTGTTTTTGTTGACAGGGATAATCGCAGTACGCTGTATTCCAACAACAATAAAAAAGTGCTTCACGACCACACATTGCACACCACTGCTTTTTCTTAATTTCTTCGACGCACCTCTGTTTTTCCTCTTCTGCATGTTTACGCGTCTCTGCAACTGCTCTCAATCTCTCTGCTTCTAAACTTGCCCTCATCTCTTTTAAAGTGCGATCTACGTAGAAACAATCATTTTCAGGTTTAATTGCATTCACTATCGATCAAAATTGTGCGATCATTTATTTTCGAATGTATGAAATATATTTTAAAACTTAAAATGTAGGGGAATTGAATTTTTTTCATTTTATATCTTAACCCTCAAGTTTAATCTTAAATAACTTTTACAAATTTTAAAAAATTTAGATCCTGACATTCGCGACAACAATTTCTATAAGTTTCAATCGAGCTAAACCATTATAACGACCAGGAGAAATTTTTTTTTTTTAATTTTTTTTCGAGATTTGAAATTGTTGGTATGAACATTTATAAACAAATGAAGTGTTGTGAATTTAACTGAAGTGAGTCGTTTTATAACCAACAATTATTACTTATGCACGCAAAATCACTGCAAAGTAACTTGTACTAAACATTATAAACATAAATACATGTCAAATTTTACAATTTAAATATCGGTAGATCCAAATAATTAATAATAAGATTCAAAAGGAATCTTTTTGTTTTTAAATATTGTAATTTTTTCAGGAGCATGATCTAAAAATTTTATTCAAATTTAAATTATCGTTTAAAAATTTTTCAAAAGTATTGCAACAAGTTTTTGACAACTGATAATATTTTTAAATTAATATGTATTTGCGAATTTAATATTGAGTTAAATTATATAAATACCTACAAATTTTAATAAATAAGAAATAAAAAATTTACATTTAAGGTTAAATTAACCTTAAATATTTTCGGAAAATCATCTCTAGTTTCGTTATTTTTAAGCTTTTTGCAAATTTGAAACGAGATTTTAAAGAAGACAAGACCACCAACAACATCCAAAAAAACTTTTTTGATTACACTAAAAAGAAAAAAAATACAAGCAAAATAATTTTTCAAAAGTGTACTGATCGTGTAGTGTAGTTTTCCGACTTTTGATTTATGCAGACAACTTAAAAATAATTATGATTTGCAAACTGTACTACTGACTGATACACATTAAAAGTTGTGGCAGTTTCTTTTTTCATAAAATAAAAAATTTTATGGGAATTCTTCCCATTAAGATTAGGGAATATCATCTATATTTATGTTAAAAATTTTTACTGGAAAGTTGAGAAACTCGTGTTTAGATTGATTTCTTGAACAAAAAAATGTTAAATTATGAATTAGTAAAAAATATTAGCAAATGTGAGAGAAAAATTCTCTTTTGTCTAGAACCGAGTTTCCTGTATTTGCCAATTAAACTATCCGCTTTGATTACAAAATAAGGAACGATAAATGCAACAATTTGCATAGTCAAGTTATATTCGAAATTTAATTAATAATTAATTTATTAATCGAGTCGATACCATTTTCAAAAACAAAATAATTAGAAAAAATAAATATTTTTATTATACCTGTATTATATCGTAATTCATCCAGCTGTTGTTGATGTTGCCATCTCATGCGTTCAATTTCAAGTTTTAAAAAGTGAATCTTTGCTTGGCAACCGTCACTAGACGTTTGCTCAATTTCAGAATTTTCTAAGACTGTTTCCCTAAGGGCTTCCTCCATCATTTGTGCCATTCGCTTAGCTAGTTCTAATGATCGTTGATGCAATTTCGAAGAAAATGGCCCGGCTTCTGGAGGTGGTAGCTGCTGATGAGAAATTGGATTTTCAGTGCTTTGAGGAGGAATGTAAACCATAGCATCAACAGGTGGAGCTGTCGACGTTTTCGACGGAAATGAAAAATTCGGTGGCCTATTAGGAAATGATTTCTTTGCTTTACTTTGTTTTTTCTTAGAAACTGACATATCACGCGGTTCTTGTTTAACAGGAGAAACAATTTTATTACTTGTTTGATTACAGCTACCTACTTCTGTAGGTAATTTTTTAACTTCCATTGATTTATCCCCTGATGACGCATAAAGCCTTGTTGAAGAATTCGAACCAACTGAAGATGATGTACTTTTATTTTGCGATTCAGATTCCAACACAGAGACGGATTCTTCACTAGATTTAGATTCGCTTACAGCATTAAGTTTATCAATAATCGTCTTTTTAGGATTGTACAATTTATTAGCATTAGATTTAATTGGTTTGAGGGCAATTTTCGGAGTACTCGTTGCAAGAAACGATGAAATTACTTTAGGTGCAATTTTTGGTGTACAGCTCTTTAAATCTTTTGGAGGTGACTTTTGAACTGTTTCTTCTGCAGGCTTGTCATTTGGTAAACTATTTTTCAAATTGCCACTACTTTTATTTAAATGAATAGTTAATTTTGGACACGTTATGACCTCAGTTTCATCCTTTTTCTGTGACTTTAATTTTGGTTTTAGTTTGCTATCATTCACTTTAGATAAATTCAAACTTTCTGCCTTCTTGGTAGATTCAGAGGAATCTTCTTTTTCTATAACAGGAGAACTACCTATAGAAACTGACTTTCGTTGCACCTTTTTTTTCGTGAGACCAGGCGTAGTTGGTCTAGATTTAACAAGATTAGAGTTATTTTGTTCGACTGAAGAATTAGTGTCTTCACGTGAAGAACCTTCTACTTCCCAACGATTTCTAAATGAAGGCCTCTTCTTTAAAGCCAACGTTTGTGATTTAGATATGTGAGACGATGAATCGTAATTTGGCAGCATAATTTGTATTTGTGTTTGATCGTTGGGATTATATTGAATTCGAGGCGGAGCAAACTTAAACTGTCCAAAAACCATTTCCAATTTTCGACAGTGACGAGCAACTTCTCTGACGCACTCGTCCATTTCATTCTTTTTCTTTCGAGGCAAAGGCTGTGGAGGCTCTTCAGAATACAAGAATACATCTTTAGGAACAACCCAAGCGCGATCATGTTCCCCAAAGAAACGTACATCAATATATCCTGCTCCATTTATGCGAGGTAAAGCTTTTGCTGGCCAAAATGGAAATCCCTTCAGCTTTGCCCAGACAATTGGATGAGGGCGACGACAAGGTTCAATGAACCAACTTGGTAATGGACGCGGTAAATTACGACCGTGCATATAACAATCTGGACATGCTTCCAATTCTGACACCTCTTGTCTTGCAACTTTCACTATTTGTTTTGCAGCGCTTGTCAACTTTGACGGATCGGCGTAGACTCCTCCACCTTTTTTGTTAAAAGCAAAATAATGTTATTTACAAATATCAGATACATTAATAATAAAAAATGTTTATTAATATTATAAACCTGTACTGAATTCAACTAGTATCGAATTTCATTCGGAATTTGATTTAATGAAATAGCCGATATTTCTCGTGATGTTAAAATAAAAAAAAATTACAACAGACAATATGCATATGATACTAAACTGTATATTTTTAAAAGGATGGTATTTAAATATAATAGTCCTTAAGAAGTATAAATAAATTATTATTATTTTAAATATATGATAATTTGTGTTATTTTTATGTTAAACTTTGTGCTTTTTTAAAAAATAGTGCCTGAAGATGTTAAGAAATGATTCAATTAAACGTAGCTACAATTTAAAACGAATTTATTGTCTATTAAAATGTGATTAAAATTTTCTTTAACAAACTTACATGTATTAAAAACAATACAATTATGTTGAATCCACTTTGCATCTGCCATGAATGCGTCTGTACTGCCGTATAATTTGGATTTGACATTATTTTCCAATAAACACAAATCCATTGGCTTTACAACGTATTCCATATAATTACTAACTTCTTTAGTGTCAACTTCCTTCCAAAATGGTTCTGACTACACAAATGGAAAAATATTTATTTTATTAAATAAAATATTGTAACTGGGAATATTATTTTAAAATATTAAACAAAACTTTTCCTATTGTCAACTAAAATTAGAAGACTGGGGCGAATTTTGTTAAGGGTTGATCCCTGAATGTTATGGCAACAAGGTGTGCGCAACAATAAATCTATATTTTACAAGAAGTAAATTTCCGATTATTAATTTAAAACCAAATGTCGACAACGCTTAGTTATTATTATTTGGGTCATTCACATTTTACCCCCCCCCCATTTTTTCTTGTTAAAATACTAAAGTGAATGTTAAAAATTAATCTTATTTAAAGTAATTAAATGTCGACAAAAGTCGTAAAAATTACTCGTTTCAATATCCATAAAGTTTTGATATCGTTAAATCATATTGTGTGACCTGGACAGCAAGTCTGATAACCAGGCCTAAAATATCAATGTGTACCCCTAGTTCACCAAATTCAATGAGACTTGGTAAAATGGTAAAAAAATACATATATAATGATAATTCCATGACTTTATCATAGTTTTACACAGCAATTTCACAAAAAGATAAAAATTGTAAACTCAGGAAGAATATAAAGTTTAAGTGCCCGATTGAAAATCTATTTATCTTCTAAGTCATGCTCTTTTCATAGCATTAAACCGAGTAATCGCACCGTCATGGGACTACAACCTCATTCTCTTTGTATGCACACCGATCAGGTCAAATAAATTTGTAATAACATCTTTATAGGTAATGCATTCTTATATCTATAATAAGAAAAAAATTGGTTTTGTAGAAACTAAAAAACATAAATTGTTCTGCTTACCCCAGGATAATCACGCATTCTGTCAATTATATGTTTTAGCAGCATGCAAAGTTGATCAACAGAGAGCTGAGACATTGCTTCCGATCGAGTTTCTGCATTCTCAGCCTTTAAGATAGTTGCACATTCTCCACAAATCCAATTTTGAACGTTGGTTAGCTGTGCTCCACCAATGCATTTTCGATGCCAAGAACGTGGACACGCACTACATTGAACATCCACTGTTTCTTTATGACAACGCCAACAATATTTGTCGCTAGTATTTTGCAACTTTTTCTTTTTTGTCTTGCCGGCACTATCTTCAGAAGTGGAATCTCTTTCCTGAGTACTAAAAATAATGTATTACTGAAACTCCATTGTCTTTAATAATAATCTATTCGATTTCTTAGTCCTATAAATTTATACTTCTTTTTTCCGAATAAGATATAGTAATATAAAAAAGTTATTCGTTACAATATGTTTGAAACTTGGTGTAACTATCTCTTATTCAGTTAGAGTCGGATAAATTTTAAATGTAGCTAATTCTGGTGATGGGGCGTTTTTGTTTTAAACTATTACAAACTCATGGTTTACAATGAATATAGTGTTTTTTTAATCCATTAAGTTTTATATTGTTATTGTGTCATTATATTATAAAAGTATAATTTTTCTTATGTTTAAATTTGAAATAATATTACACATCTTTAGGGTTGAATTTAGGGGTTATATTAGTCAAAAAGGCCAAAAAATGTATGTTTACTTATAATTTTTTTTTTTTCATATGCCTAATAAATATATTATTTTATTTGAGCACTTAGTTACCTTAAAGTACACTATAAAATAAGTCAGTTATAAAATTTTTGTTGATAAATATTAGAAATTAAGCCAATGGCAACAGGTTCTTTGAGAGCTCTTACAAAATAAATGATTTTGCGGTAGTCACGATATCCAATGACTGCTTCATCAAAAATAAAAAAACCAAATATTTTCTAGTAGTAGATGAGTATACCTCGTGATTGAACGAAGAGTTTTTAAAAAATTGAAATTTGAATTTTTGGCAGTTTTTTTGTCACAAATTACGATTTTTGGGACCATTTAGACCATGTAAAATCGGTTGTAATCAAGAGAAAAAAAATCCTTCGTTCAATCACTAGTCAATACTACGTAGAAGAAGTGTGTCAAATTTCAGAAAAATCGGTTCATTAGTTTTTGAGAAATCGTGGCTACCGACTTCAAAAATAGAGTTTTTAGAAATAGAGTTCAAAGTTGAATGATATAAACGTCTAACTTTCATTTTTACTTCATCCGATTCGTTTAAAAATCTTTACTCTGGTGTTTTTGGGGTCGCTGATTACGAATCTGGTGTCAGTTTTCTAAAATTAAAAAAAGGAGTTGAATTTCAACTCCCTAGGGGATGCTATAAAAGTCCCACCCTTTTGGAGTTGAAGCGAAGGGAGTTAATGCTTTTCGAGTTAATTTTATGCCTAGGGAGTTGGTTTTAAGGAGTTAATTTCATTATTAACTCCTTTTTTGAGTTGATTTTTAACTCGTAAAATTTAACTCCCAACTGCCAGTAACGTTAACTCCCTAATTTTTTTACAGTGTACAAAAAGGCGGACTAAGTAGTTAAAAATCAATTGCACTAGGTGCCGGTCGAATCAAAAAAGCGTTTTCGAAAATTCTCTCTTTTTCCAAGAGTTTTACTCATATTATTTTAAAACTTTGTGAAAATATTCTTGAAATGTTATACTATCAAATAAAAAAAAAAAAATTTTTTTTATTTGTTTTCACCCATGTAACCCCTTTATCATATAATATCCCATATTTATCACGTGTTCCAATAGAGTTCTAAAACTATAAAAAAATGGAGTTTTCTTACGTCCTTTTTCAGAATGCTTCAAAAAACGCGAAACACTGCGATTTAGATTTTGTCAAATTCATTTTCTTACATAATTTTAAATGATAAAAAATATGGCACTAACAAATTTTGTAACCAACCTTGCATCAAAAACAGCGTCGCTTCAATGGACCACAGCACTAAACAGTCCATTGTATCGACGCTTCAAGTAGATTTGGGTTTTGCAAAAATGGTGCCAAAATCGAATAGTGGCATTTTATTTCTGTTTATTTAGAGTTTTAAAAATCGGGAACACTAAAATCGTAGCTGATCCTTTTTTCGTGTTATTGGAAAATTAATTTTTTTTCTTTTATACGAAATTTATGTAATAAAGTAAAAATACAAGATTAATTATTTCATATATCAGTTTAATTGGAAAATTGAATGTTACAGTTACATAAACAACTCTATTTAAACGAGCAGTTATTAAATTACTTTTAAAACACATTTGAGAACATTTTCAATGATTGCAATGAGTGCAGGAAACACTAATTTGTTAATTAAGAAAAAAATAGTTCATTAAAATGTAAATGTTATTATTTCCCTATTGAAATAGTTTATTGTAACTGTAACAATCAATTTTCTAATTAAACTGGTATGAAATAATTAATCTTGTATTTTCACTTCCATACATAAATTTCATTTACCTAAAAGAAAAAATGTAAATTGATAATAACTAAAAAATGGATCAACTACGATTTTAATGTTAGCGATTTAAAAGATTTAAGATGGTATACAGTATAGTTTTAATGTATATTTATACATTCATTTAACTCTAAATAAACAGGAATGAAATGCCATTACCCGATTTTGTCACCATTTTCGCAAAACCCAAATCTACTGGAAGCGAGGTGTGTCAACGTAACTAGAAATTTTAAATTAATTCATACGTGAAAGTTATATTTAAAATTTCATCTAGAAAAGCTGAAAAAAACTTGGAATTTGAATTTTTTTTTGACTAGATTCGTAATCAGATTCTTAAAACAATTCGGTCGACTGCAATTTTTATTGTATCTGGGTGTCGATTATGTAATTTTATTTGATTCTGACGTCAAATTCAAATTTTTTTGACGTCAGAGTCAAATTTCATTCGAGAAATTCATTTTTTGAATTTGACGTCAAAATCAAATCAAGAAATGAATTTCTCGAATTAAATTTGACTTTGACGTCGAGATAAATTTGAATTTGAGGTCAAAATCAAATCAAAAAAAGAATTTCTCGAATTGACTTTGACGTCAGAATCCAATCAAATTACATATTCGACACCCTGGCCTTAACCAAGTAAAAATAAGTACTTTATCCAAATTCGTATTTAGCACGAAAAATTCATTCAGGAACAATAAGTAATAATAATAATTGTTTCTCTCGGCGTTAATAGTAATAAAATTATTATAATATGAATGTAATCACAAGTTCATGACAACTGTACTTTCTGTTTTTATAAGTAAGGGAGACCGGAGTTACTTGGCGCACTTTTCACTCTTTGTTGTGTAACTCACTCATTTTTGCTTTTTTAAAAAATTTATTGTATAGAAAACTTCTTGTAACATATCAGCTTTAATTTTAAAAAAATAAAATTGCAATATATTTAATACTTTTCTTTTTATACTACTTCATTTAAAACTGTGCAAAGCGCGCCAAGCAACCCCGGCCCGGAGTTGCATGGCGCAGGAGTGAAATTTATTAAATTATATGATTTGAAGTTTAAACAATATAGGACTTAAAAAAATAAGTCTTGTACTGTAATTTTACAATAAAATTATTTTAAAAATTAGAAAATTTTATTTAAATTATTAATTAAAAGCATTTTCTATAAAATCGTAAAATTATCAAAAAATATTTTTTTTTTTAATAATTACGCTGTGAATATTTAAAAACTCATTTTTCGGTTACATTTTTTGAAAAGGATTGTTATTGGTGCTTATTAATGTGCAAATTTCATATAGGGTCATTTGGGGTAAATGTAAACGGATTTGCTTAGTTTCGACAATAACGTAAGTTTTTTATTTTAAAAAGCAATACTTCCGGTTTTCTACTGCATGAACTTGTTACTTCACTTCCCTAGAAACATTTTATGAGGTACAAAAAAATATTGATCAACTTGAATCGCTTAAAACTGACTGTTTACATTTACCCCGAGATTTTGAAATTTTCCCAAAATTCGGGGTAAATGTAAACACCCCTGTAGTTTAAAGAGGTTTAAGAAAAAAGTTATCCCAAGTATACTACTGTGTAAAGGGATGTAAAAACTGAAAAAAAATTCTTGATAGATGTAAAATAATTGAACCAATTGATTGATATGCAACATATAAAATAAGCAATCATTACCATAACAAAACTTGTAATGTAAAAACTTGAATAACTTCAATGAATTTTAATAGATTTTCATTCAACTTGGTGAAAATAAGTTTTTAAGGTTGCTGAATAAGATTCTAAAATCCAATTTTTAAATTTCAAAATGGCGGATCCAAAATGGCGGACAAACATACAAATATTGTTAAAAATTGATCAAATTTGCTTGAATCTCGCTAATCGGGGGTTTTTGAGGTCACTGAATTCGAATTTGAAGACAAATTTAAAATTTTCAAAATGGCGGATCAATCAACCAATCAATCCACCAATCAATCACTCAATCAACCAATCTATAAATCAATCATCCAAGCAACCAATCAATCCACCAATCAATTCACCAATTACTCAATCAACCAATCCATAAATCAATCAACCAATCAATCCATCAATCCATCAATCCATCAATCCATCAATCCATCAATCCATCAATCAATCAATCAACCAATCAATCATTTACTCTTATTCTAGGATTCCTACGTACCTGAGTTTTATTCACCAATCGTGAAGAATCGCATTCCTATATTTTAAACACGTAAATGCACTATGCAATACTATGCAGGTCTATACCTGCAACTGACTAACACGAAGGAGATATAAAAGAAGATCCAATTTCGTTTTTTATGTAATTTTACAGGGCCAAAATAATGTAATTGTGAAATAGAAGCAAATTTATTCAATTATTTTCTTTTAAAATGCAGCAGAAATTCTGTTTACATTTACCCCGAGTTTTCGAATTCTCGGGGTAAATGTAAACACTTAATTATCTATTAACTGAATTGACGAAATTAAAAAATCAAAGTCAGCTTTTGTTAAGGGATTCATAAGGAATAATTAGAAATTTTAGTTTGAATTTTTAGTTCATTTTTATTCAAATGCGAGACAAAATACTGAAACAGTAAAACTTTGATTTTCAATCTTTCATGCATTAAGCGACAAATTGGAGTATGGCTTTGACAATTGTCGAAAAAAAAAATTGGCAATACTCAGAACCTGTTGCAGGTGAGCTGAGGTTAAAATATTGGGGTCGAACTTAATTTTAAATCTGTAAATTAAGCTGCAATATCTGCTGTTTACATTTACCCCTTGTTTACATTTTCCCAAATGACCCTAATCAACTTGATTTAATCATTTTATTAATATTTAACGAAATTTTTAGATAACCGCGCCACCTAACCCTGAATGTACTTTTGAAATATTTATTAATTTTTTATAAAAACTGTTAATATAAATCAAAAATTTTTTTTTGTTTCTTAATAACAAATGTATAGAGATCAAAACTTGATATTTGAGCTCTTCTAAAATTCATTTTTTAAATAAACTCAAGTGCGTCAAGCAACCCCTGCACCAAACAGGCCCGGTCTCCCCTAAACGAAGGAGAAAATTATTTTACCTTATACTTTTGCGTTTTCTTCTTCCTTCCTTTTGCTCTTTTGCGTCTTTCTCCACTTCAATTGTCTGTACATCACTTTTAACATTATCTTTCACAAGTGCCCTCTCTGCACCATTTGTGTCTTTGTCCTCTGTACTTACATAATTTCGTTGATCTGTTTGAATTTCAGAAGTGGACGATATCTTTAAATCTTTTTCAACTTCTGTTGATATTTCCTTTTCTCTATTAAGCACCAGGTCCAAATCACTTGTAGTAGATTTTGATTCATTTTGTATTAACTCAGTTGACAGAGTGGAAGTCGATATACCATCTGTACCGCAATTCAATGAATCCATATTCGATTGACCTTTACACCAAGCAACACCTAAAACAATAATATTACAATTTTTTATTCATTAAAATTCATTTTATATTTTGTATATTAACCCTTTCATACCCAGAAAAAACTGGAAATTTGGGAAAAGAAAGCTGCAGTTGTTTTTATAGTTTTTCAATATGACGGTCGAAAAAATTTTTAAATTGTTTGAATTTGATTAAAACTTGTTTTTTTGTGTTTTTCGGGATCGTTGATTAGAAATCTAATAATTTTCTAAAATTCAAAAGGCGCATCCTATATGGCGGACAATTTTTTGAAAATTATTGTATTTGCTTGAAACTTGTTACTCGGAAGTTTTTTTAAATATAAGATTTATAATTAGTGACCCGGAAAACCCTTTAGTAACAAGTTTCAAGCGAATCGGATGAATTTAAAAAATTCGCCATTTTGAATTTTGAAAAACGGACATCGGATTCGTAATCAGCAACCCCAAAAACTCTCAAGTAACTAGTTTTAGACAAATCTTGTAAAATTTAAAAATTTTTGGTCACCACACTGGATTCACCATTTTGAATTTTTGGAATCAGACTTCAAATTCGTAATCAGCGACCCCAAAAACCTCCAAGTTATGCGTTTTCACTAATTATTTAGATTCTTTTATAAATAATAAACAGTATTATGCAAAATCTGTTCATATATTTTGAAAGTACTATCCTTTTTGAAGAAAATGCGCTAAAATTGACTAAAAAACATTAATTTTTGTTAAAGTTATTAAGATTTTTGTAAGTCAAACATACATGTCCCATGGGCGTGGAAGGGTTAATATAAAATTATTTCATTATTTTCTCTCTCCCTTTGTTTTTTTAAGATCCCAAAAGCATGCGAACGATTCTATTAGCTAGAAATTAAAGCTTTTTTATGATTTCCATTCAGGATTACAGAAGCTATTTGATTAATCTTTGAGGGGATTCTATCAAAACATTCTGGTTTTATTATTTCATCGACTAATCGAGGAAACGTGCCACTTCATACTAATTATAAAAAAGATACTGTTTCGAAAAATAAGTTAAAAATAATAAAATTCCAGCAAAGATTTGGAATTGTGCCGTTTCAGAAATTAAATCTATCCAATTTCATCTTGGGTTATCAGCACTGAAAATTTATTAAAATTTTATTAAAAATTCATTAAATGAAGGAAAATAGATGTGAATTTTGTAGTAAATTTAATGTTATTTGACATCTTGGTATTAATTTTGAAGATTATATTAATTTTAATTACAAAAATTGAAAAACAAATTTTAAATCAATTTTTAATAGACTTCGACCATTTTTTAAATATTTAAAAATATCTTAAACGAAATAAGTTAAATTAATTATGTCAAACAACATTAAATTTACTACAAAATCTTCACCTATTTTTCTTCATTTAATGGATTTTTAATAAAATTGTATTATTGAAAAACAAACCAAGATCGGAGTTGTCCGTTTCACGTAGAATAACCCATTAAAGATTTGTAAATAAAATATATGATTTTACATAGAAAAGACATTGTCAAATTTCAAAAGCTTTCTTCTCGAAACGACGTTTTCAAACACGGCTAGTAGCAGAAATCGAGTAATTTTTATCAGATTGACTAGAAATTTTAACTGTAGCATGGTTATTTTAATTGATGTACAATTTTGATTTTCGAAAAATTAGCATTGAATTGGTGTTCAATAACTCCAAAAATCCCCGAGTAACAAATCGCAAGCAAATACAACCAAGTTTTAAAAACCTCGTTCGCTATATTTAATCCGCCATCTTGAATTTTGTAATTCTGACTTTAAATTCGTATCAGTTATATCGAAAATCTAAAGAACTATTTAAAATTTAGATGTTTGTAGTTATATTCTTCTCTATTATCAAAGTTTTATCTGTTCCTACTCAGTTTTCGAATACCAAAGAATTCACCAAACTCAGAAAATGAAATTAACGATTACTCAGAGACAAATAAAGATTTTTTAATTTTCAAAATGGATTTTAAAGGATACAATATTGACATTTTAAAAAAAAATTATCTCTTGATGTTACATTACCTCAAATGTAGCTAAAAAAACATGGTTTTTTTGCACTTAGAATATCTGAAAAAACCTGACGTGCAGGGTTAATTCTGTGGCTGAATTCGGATTCAGCACGTCGAAAACCTTCGGGAAAGTATTGTCTGATTCTCGGTTAGAAAATCTGGTTGGCCTGTGTTATCAACAGAAGTACGCATGATTATTAAGATTGATATTAAGCAATTACGGTTGTTACAAACAAATAAAGATCGTGTTTTTTAGTCAAAAAACCAACTATTTTTAAAATAAAACGCATGATCGTTGGAGCCTGCTACTGATAGTCCAGGGATGCCTAAAAAAATATTTGCGCGACCTGTCAAGCCGTCCTAAAAATTTCACATTGATCGATTCATAGCAAAGTCATAAAAAATTCCCAAAAAAACGTCTAATTTTTGGCTATCAACTGGGTATTACCCCTGAATACATCTCTTTTGATAAGAATTCATAACCTATTTTAATTTTTTCCAACACTGGAAACTCAAAGTAAATAACAAAATCTGAATAGGAATAGTAATATTTTCAACTTTCTTTCGAAACGGTACGTTGTTTAAAAAGGTCCGAAATTGTATATTTCGTCACGAAGATAATGATTTGTATATATTGGATTTTTGGTATTGTACTAATTAGCTAAGATTTCTAATTAATGATATTTCTTCAGTTTAATGAATCACAGGATCCTGATTTAAAATTTTTTTTTCACAACTTTCATTGAGCATCCATGCAATAGAACAGAATTGGACCATTCACTGTAAATTAAATTTAAGATACATTGTATCTTTGATTTCAATAACTGTAAATCATATACTTAAATATTACATTTAATAAAGATTTTCCTGGGTGGTAAAATATTCAAGAACCAAGAAACACGTAAACGGTACGTACGACACATCCAAATTACTGCTTACTTAAAAACCAAATGTTAGTGAGGAATAATATTAAGTCTAAAACTTGAAGTTACATTGATTTAATGAGAATCGTAAGAAAATATTTTGATAAAAGTATTTAAATTATTATTACTGACTATTCATCGAATAATAATCTTTTTGAATTTAAAAAATTTTTAATGTGTGAATTCTATGAGGATTCCACACACGTACAAACCTCCGAAAGTTTTGTTGCCCGCTTGTTTACAAATGGTCAATGAAGATGTGTCGAAAAATCTGCTGGAGACGCGCGCCATATCGTAAATGGAGATACATAGATTGAATCACCTGGTACCTGAACAGAAAAAAGGAAAACATTCTCACCTTTCATGTGCTCTAATTTTTAAGATAAGATCACGTAACGACATTTATTGTAAACAACTTTCATTTTTTAATAGTTAGCAAGAATGAATTCATTTTTAAAATTACATAAACTTACATCTCCTTGAAAATGTCTTGAAAAAACAAAATTGTTAAATTTTCTTTAGCTCTTGTATCAACTTTATTTTTTTATTTTAATTATCACAAAAACTTTTGAAGAATTCTGCCAAATAATTGAATAAAAAAATCTTCTATCATTTAATAGTGTAACGTAGTCAAAGTCAAACTTACGCGAGTATGTTTTGGAAAAATCTAATGAATTCACCAGGTTGTACTCACATCCCTGATTTAATTCAATTTATGTATCACGTCTCTGGACATGTCCAAAATTTATCGCACATCGCGATTCTCTACTAAAATCATTTTTTGTTTTTATTTAAAAACTTTAATCTCTATGAGATTTACAAAGTGAAAATTGACGTATAAGGAAGCAATACGCATGACTGATAACAAAACATTTAGTATGTGCTATAACTTGGCAACGCTTTTATATTAATTGTGATTTTCTTTTGTAATTTTTTGATATACCTTGTCTATCTCATTATGTCTTATTTATTATTATTGTAGTCCCTAAAGAGAACTTTATAAATTTTGACCCGTTGAACAATTGATTGTAACTATAAATCTTGTTGCAATTTATATTAACATATCAGAAAAAAAATCTCGAAGAGAGAAGCTCTTGCAGGTCAGGCGAAACATTTGCGTATGTTCAATGCAATTTTTGAATGAAAGTTCTGATGACATTAATAAATTCAGAAAATCAGGGTAGAGTCAGTTGGGGTAAATGGGAACAAGACTTAAAAATCATACAAAATTTTTTTCTTATTCCTTATGATTTCCATAACAGAAATTTCTTTTGAATTTTTTAATTTTGTCAATCTAGTTAATAATAACAAGCTGTCCTCATTTACCCTAAGGAATTGAAAACTCGGTGTAAATGGGGACAGCTTGTTATTATTAACCAAATTGACAAAAATCAAAAATTCAAGTGAATTTCTGTTATGGAAATCATAAGGAACAAGAAAAATTTTTGTATGATTTTTAAGTATGTTTTTTTCAAATGCGAGACAAAATACTGAAATAAAAAAAATAAAATAAAAGACATGAACCAAGCAAATTTAATCAATTTATAAGAAAATTTTTAAGTTAGTCCGCCACATTACAAATTTTTTTCAAGTTTTTTCATCCATAATACAGTAATATACTTAAGGAAACTTTTTTCTTAAACCTTTCTTAGGAACTATGCTGTCCCCATTTACCCCAAATTTTGGGAAATTTTCTAAATCTTGGGGTAAATGGTGATCAGTCAGTTTCATGAGTTTAAAGCTTATCTAAATTTTTTTCTTCTGCATAAAATTAATCCTGCGAATGTAAATAACAACTTAAAAAAAGCAAATATTACCTTTAAAGAAAGAAACTTGCGTAATTTGTGAAAAATAGCGATTTTGTCCCCATTTACCCCAACTGACTCTAATCAAGTCCGAAATTGAATATAATTGATTTTTAAAACAAGATATACAATAAAATGTTCTCAAATGAAAATAATAATGGTTTAAAATTCTTTTATAGTTTATTACTATTTTAAAAATAATTAGTGAAATAAATTTTATTAAAAAAAAGTTCTCAGTTTAAAAATATTTCTTTTACCTTAAAATAAAATACCTCTTATAACCTTTAACCTTAAAGCTAAAAAATATAGTATATTTACACTGAGTCGTATAGAAACACACTCTAATGTTGATGAAATCAGAAAGGCTCTTTCACAATTTTACATCTAATGTATTAAGGTCAACACACAATTGCTTCGTGAACGTAAGGCATTAGATAGAAAAGGAAAGCGATATATTTGCATCACTTGTGATTAATTGAGTGACAAAATCGAATACTGTCGATTTTTAATATTTGAAAATCGATTATTATTAGTCAAACTGAAATGCGACAATGACAATTTTCACTTAATATTCAAGAGATAGGGTGAATGAACTTCATTCGAAATATATTTATATATTTAACACAAAATTACGATTCCATTGAAAAAAAATTTTGTTGTACTAAAAAAATATATCTGGCGAAAAAATTACTGGAATTTCCAGTAATTAATCTAGTAGTTATTCCACTAATAATTCCAGTAGTTATCCCAATAATTATGCCAGTAATTATTTTTCATAAGGGACTGTCACAATTAATTCCACAATTTGAGTTTGATTAATCACTTACAATAACCATGTCTGTGATTTTCAAAATTCAAAAGAAAGATTTTTTACAATAGAGAGATTTAAAAAACTAGTCAATTTTTATTTTCCGTTAATAAAACCTCAGATTATATTCTATTTGGTACTTCAACCAATTGATATTCTTCGATTAGCAATATTATTTTTTCATCTTAAGAGTTTTTACGTTTTTCAGTTTAAATTACATTAAAAGAAAAGGAAATTTTTTAAAGGAAGTTTTAATTAGATGTAAATAATAAAAAAAAATTAATTTGTACTGCTTCGTTGTAAATGACTGCAAAATAATGTTGATGTAAGTTAAAAACATTTATAAATGATAAATAAAATAAAATCTGACTTTAATTACACAAGCCTGCAAAAAAAAACATTTCCGTTGTCAGAGATCGAGAAGTCATTTCCCGTAGTTTTTGGTGAGCTGAATCCGAATCTAACATCGAAAACCTCCCATCAAGTCAGGATTTTGAAAAAAGTGGGGGTAAAAATCCCAAAAATCACGTTTTTGGCAGTTTTTGAAAAATTTCTACTGGGTAAATCCGACGTGTTAGAGACTTGGTATAGGAGTCAAATTAAAGCTCGAACCCTGTACTTTACGACAATATAGCGATATTGGCAACAACAAAATAAATTAGCTGTAAAAAATGGTATTTTTAAGTTGTCAAGCATAAAAATTGACTCACAACTGTTCGTAAATGGGCAAATCCACGAAACTTTTAACTTTCAAGAAAAAAAATTTCTTTTTTTAATTTGCAGGCACATTGATGTCACTTTCTATACACGTTTAAGTACATTTTAGCACTACAAATTCATATGCGTGATTCATTTTTAGCTCACGCCTTCAATGTTTAACTCTTTAAACTCTTTAATGTTAATAAATTACATATAAAATTGAAAAATTCAACTTTTTTTATTTTTGTTTTAAGAGTGGTTTCCAAAGTATTTTTGTCCTCTGAACACGATTCTGGCACCCAAATTTGCTTAGCACGTCAGGATTTTGAGAAAAGAGGGGGTTAAGACTCCAAAAAAGTGTTTTCAGCATACTCTTAACTTAATAAAATTTATTTCACTCAAAATCCTTAAGCGGTGTTTTTGTGTTGAAATATATGTATGAAAATGTTCCTTTGTATATAATTTAGCAAAAAAAAATTATACCCATAGTTTTAATTAAAAATAATTCAGATTTTTAAGTATCCGATTCGAGAATCACAAAAGTTAAAAGTTTCGTGGATTTGCCGAAATAAAACTATTTTAAAAAATACTTGGATTCGCTTGAAATTTTTCACTCTGGGGTTTTTGGGGTTGCGGATTACTAACCACTTGAGCGTCATGGCGTTCCAACTGGCGTCGTGCGTGGCAGTGACAGAAGCGTCAAAAATGCATAAATGGCGTTCCTACTTGAATTCAATTTGTAAAGTCTGTAGACATAATTAACTAACTATAACTTACTTTTTATATTTTTTGAGATTAAGCAAGACGTATGTGACACGAAAAAATTATTTTTTTAAACATTCAAACAGTTTTTTCAAAATTTAAAGTCGACAATTTTTGGTACTTTTTTGCGAATGGCGTTCTAACATTTGCTCAATAAAATTATATTTCTGCTTCCAAAAACTGTGCAAAACACCCAAATCTTGTTACTCGGGGATTTTCGGGATCGCTGAACATGAATTTGATGCCAAATTGACAATTTGACAGTTGACAGCTGTCAATTCAACTGTCAACTTCTATAAAAGACAATTATTTTTTATGAAAATAACTGTATAAGGGTTTTTGGGGTCACTGATTACGAATATGAGATCAAATGGACAATTTGACAGTTGACAACTGTCAATTCAACTGTCAACTTCTATAAAAGACAATTATTTTTTATGAAAATATCTGTATAAGAGTTTTTGGGGTCACTGATTACGAATATGAGATCAAATTGACAATTTGACAGTTGACAGCTGTCAATTCAACTGTCAACTTCTATAAAAGACAATTATTTTTTATGAAAATAACTGTATAAGGGTTTTGGGGTCACTGATTACGAATATGAGATCAAATTGACAATTTGACAGTTGACAGCTGTCAATTCAACTGTCAACTTCTTTAAAAGACAATTATTTTTTTTGAAAATAACTGTATAAAGGTTTTTGGGGTCGCTGATTACGAATATGAGATCATATTGACAATTTGACAGTTGACAGTTAAATTGACAGCTGTCAATTCTCAAATTGTCAATTTGACCACATATTCGTATTCAGCGACCTCGAAAACCCTTATACTATTACTTTCATTAAAATTAATCACTTTTTATAAATTTGACAGTTGATTTGACAGCTGTCGAATTGTCAATTTGATCTCATATTCGTATTCAGCGACCTCGAAAACCCTTATACTATTACTTTCATTAAAATTAATCACTTTTTATAAATTTGACAGTTGATTTGACAGCTGTCGAATTGTCAATTTGATCTCATATTCGTAATCAGCGACCCCGAAAACCCTTATACAGTCATTTTCATAAAAAATAATTGTTTTTTATAGAAGTTGACAGCTGAATTGACAGCTGTCAAATTGTCAATTTGATCTCATATTCGTAATCAGTGACCCCAAAAACTCTTATACAGATATTTTCATAAAAAATAATTGTCTTTTATAGAAGTTGACAGTTGAATTGACAGCTGTCAACTGTCAAATTGTC